CTAGGAATGAAAGGCCATGCATAACCACGCACCCTCCAGCCAACCTGGACAAGATGACACGGAGAGCTCTCGAAGGGAGGGATGGACGAGCACCTTGGGGAGCGCGCCTCTTCGAGCGGCTCGCCGCAGACTGGGAGGCCCTCAGAACTCATCCTTGAGGGCCTTCGCGGGGAAAGCCTTGACGATGGTCTTGGCCGGCTTCGCCTTCACCATGACGACCTTGCCGAAGATCTCGCGCTTCCCAGCCTTGGTGGCCTTCTTCTGGCGGGTTTTGATCATCGCAACGCCCGGGATGACGAACTTGCCGTTCTTCTTCGCCTCTGTCGTTGCAATGCTCGCCAGAGTGCTCAAGGCCGTGCCGATCACGCCCCTCTTCACCTCGCAGGCCTCCGCGAGCGCCGCCATGAGGGCGCTCCTGGTCATGACCGTGGACTTCATCATCGGCGCCATCTCTGCTGCTTGGGTGAGGAAGCAGCGGCGCTGCCGATGTCTCCTGGTCTGTGCGCGGGGGCCGAAACTTGAGCCAACATGGTCACGGGGTAAAGTCTTACTGTCGGATGGGCTTGCGTACCCTGTCTGCCTTTCCTCCTCCGCCTCCTCCCACTTCTGCTTTGTGCCCATCTCCTCCCCCTCTCATCCTCATTGCGCCTCATTCGTGTCCCGCCATCCCATTCCCGTCGCCCCACCAATATTCCTCCACCTCGTCTTCCTCTTGCTCTTCCTCATCCTCCTCGCCCTTCTCTTCCCCCTCATCATACTTGATAGTTGAGCCCATGCTATGTATCTGCCCAGACAATGGAAAACGCGCCCTGGGGCAAGTCATAACAAAATACGTACGTCAAACGAGACGTCGGTTATGGCGATATCTAATCAGCATCATTACCAGCAGCAGCGGCACCAGCATCATCATCAGCAGCATCATCAGCATCATCATCATCATCAACATCAGCATCATAATAATCCTCTGCAGCAGCAGCATCATCACCACCAGCATCATCATCAGCATCAGCATCATCCGCATCATCATGCATTATCATCGACATCATCTGCATCATCATCACAATTATAATCATGATCAGTGTCATCGTCGTAGTCAGCGACATCAGCATCATCATCATCATCATCATCATCATCATCATCATCATCTTCACCATTAGCAGCATCATCAGCATCGTCATCAACATCAGCATCATCACCATCATAATCAAAATCAGAATCCTCATCCTCAACATCACTATTACCATCACAATATCCATCATCATCAGCATCAGCATCATCATCATGACCACCACCACCACCACCAGCTTCATAATCATCATCATCATCATCGTCATCACCACCACCACCATCATCATCGTCATCCTGATCATCATCGTCATCGTCATCATTGTAACCGTCTTCATCACGACCTTCGGCATCATCATCATCATCATCATCATCACCAGCACCATCAGTATCATCATCAACATCAGTATCATCAGCATCATAATCAGCATCATCATTATCATCACCATCATCGGCATCATCAGCATCATCATCAATGTCATCGTGTGTTGTCATTGCCATCGTCATCGTAATCGTCATCATCACCACCACCGCCATCATCATCAGCAGCATCATCACAGTCATCATAAACGCTGGCAGCAGGCGCAATTGCGTCATCGACGTCTTCCTCAACATCATCAGCATCAATAGCGTCATCGTTGGCACCAACATCCTCCTCATCGTCGTCATCGTCATCATCGTCATCAACAGCAACATCATAAACAGCATCATCACCACCATCATCATCGCAATCAGCATCATCGTCACCACCATCATCATCAGCATCACCGTGTCACCATAGTCATCGTCAACATCATCAGCATCGCCATTGTCATCAACATCATCATCATCCTGTCAATATCATCACCGTCATGGTCATGGTCACACTACGTGTTCTTGTCTTCCACGTCCTCATCCCCAAGAGCGGCTGATCCAAGCGACCCAGAAGAAAGAGCTACATGCTCTCCCGACAAGGAGTCATCGTGATTGGTGAATGGGGGGTGCAGCGATGTTTTGCTCTGCGAGACGGGTGTGGAGTACATGTAGTCACCCTCGCCGAGGGTCCCGGGACCGGAAGGCCATGCATAACCACGCACCCTCCTGCCAGCCTGGACAAGATGGCACGAAGATTCCTCTAACGGAGGGATTGACGAGCACCTGGGGAATCACGTCTCTTCGAGCGGCTCGCCACAGACTGGGAGGCCCTCAGAACTCATCCTTGAGGGCCTTCGCGGGGAAAGCCTTGACGATGGTCTTGGCCGGCTTCGCCTTCACCATGACGACCTTGCCGAAGATCTCGCGCTTCCCAGCCTTGGTGGCCTTCTTCTGGCGGGTCTTGATCATGGCAACGCCCGGGATGACGAACTTGCCGTTCTTCTTCGCCTCTGTCGTTGCAATGCTCGCCAGGGTACTCAAGGCCGTGACGATCACGCCCCTCTTCACCTCGCAGGCCTCCGCGAGCGCCGCCATGAGGGCGCTCTTGGTCATGACCGTGGACTTCATCATCGGCGCCATCTCTTTTGCTTGGATGAGGAAGCAGCGGCGCTGCCGATGTCTCCTGGTCTGTGCGCGGGGGCCAAAACTTGAGCCAACATGGTTACGGAATAAAGTCCTACTGTCGAGCAGGCATACGCACCCTGCTTACCATCCCTCGTCCTCATCCTTCTCCTCCAGCTCTTCCCACTGTTTACGCCTCCTCCTCCTCTTCTCCTCCTCATTCCACCTCTTCCGCGTCCCCCCCTCTCATCCCCGTCCCCTCTCCCCCATCCTCCTCCATTTCTTCCTCCACTTCCTCTTCCTCCTCTTTCACCTCGTCACCTGAAAATTCAGATTCCAGCTCGTCCGTCTCCTCACCTCTTCAGACCTGCTGAATGAGACATAAGATCAGCACATTCCGCAGGGCCCATCCAATGTATCTGAACGGACAATGCAAATGCGCTCCAGCACAACTCGATGAAGATGCGTGCTTCATACGGGACGTCGTTGTCTTAATCAGGACGATGACAAATCGTCGCCACCATCATTAGCATCATCATCATCATCATCACTATCACCATCAGCATAATCATCATAAACATCATCAGTATCATCATCATCAGCAGCATCATCATAATCATCAGTAGCTTCATCATCATGGTCATCATCCTCATCAGCAGCACCACCACCAACCTCCTCCTCCTCCTCATTTTCCTCCTCCTCCTCCTCCTCATAATCAGCAACCTCAACATCGTCAACATCATCATCCTCATCATCATGAACATCGTCACCATCATCATCATCATCATCAGCATCATCATCATCATCATCATCATCATCATCATCATGAGCATCATCAACATCATCATTATCATCATCATCGTCATCATCATCATCACTATCAGCAGCATGATCATCGTCACCACCAGCATCAGCATCATCATCAGCAGAATCACCATAATAATCCTCATCATCAGCATCATCAGCATCAGAACCATCAGCATCATAATCATCGCGATCGTTATGGTCATTGTCATCGTCATCTTCATCATCATCATCATCATCATTCCCACAACCACCACCATCATCAGAATCATCATTATCATCATTATCATCATCATCAGCAGCATCATCGCAATCATCATAATCGCCGGCAGATGGCGCATTTTCGCTAGTGTCGTTTTCCTCAGCATCATCAGCATCAATAACATCAGCATTAGCAACATCATCCTCATCATCGTCATCACCATCGTCATCCACATCAACATCATCAACAGCATCATCACCACCATCATCATCGTAATCCGCATCATCATCACCACCATCATCATCAGCATGACCTTGCCACCAGAAGTAACGTCATCATCATCATCATCAGCATCGCCATTATCATCACCATCATAATCCTGTCACCATCATCATGGTCATAGCAATAGTACGTGTTCTTATCCTCCACGTCCTCATCATCAAGCGAGGCTGATCCAAGCAACCCAGAAGAAATAGCTGCATGCTCTCCCGACAAGGAATCTTCGAGATTGTTGAATGGGGGGTGCAGCGATGCTTTCCTCTGCGAGACAGGTGTGGAGTACATGTGGTCGCCCTCGCCAAGGGTCCTGGGACCGGAAGGCCATGCACAACCACGCACCCTCCAGCCAACCTGGACAAGATGACACGGAGAGCTCTCCAAGGGATGGACGAGCACCTTGGGGAGCACGCCTCTTCGAGAGGCTCGCCGCAGACTGGGAGGCCCTCAGAACTCATCCTTGAGGGCCTTCGCGGGGAAAGCCTTGACGATGGTCTTGGCCGGCTTCGCCTTCGCCATGACGACCTTGCCGAAGATCTCGCGCTTCCCAGCCTTGGTGGCCTTCTTCTGGCGGGTCTTGATCATCGCAACGCCCGGGATGACGAACTTGCCGTTCTTCTTCGCCTCTGTCGTTGCAATGCTCGCCAGAGTGCTCAAGGCCGTGCCGATCACGCCCCTCTTCACCTCGCAGGCCTCCGCGAGCGCCGCCATGAGGGCGCTCTTGGTCATGACCGTGGACTTCATCATAGGCGCCATCTCTGCTGCTTGGGTGAGGAAGCAGCGGCGCTGCCGATGTCTCCTGGTCTGTGCGCGGGAGCCGGAACTTGAGCCAACATGGTTACGGGGTAAAGTCTTCCTGTCGGATGGGCTTGCGTACCCTGTCTGCCTTTCCTCCGCAGCCTCCTCCCACTTCTGCTTTGTACCCATCTCCTCCCCCTCTCCTCCTCATTGCGCCTCATTCGCGTCCCGCCGTCTCATTCCCGTCGCCCAACCAATCCTCCTCCACATGTTCTTCCTCTTCCTCTTCCTCTTCGCCCTTCTCTCCTCCTCATCATACTTTGTAGTTGAGTGACACGGTCAGCCAATGTCGCAGTGCCCATCCGATGTATCTGCCCAGACAATGAAAACACGCCCTGGGACAAGTCGAACAAAACACGTACGTCATACGAGACGTCGTTTATGGCGATATCTAATTAGAATCATTAGCAGCAGCAGCGGCGGCAGCAGCATCGTCATCGTCATCGTCATCATCATCATCATCAGCAGCAGCATCAGCATCAGCATCAGCATCACAGTCGTCATCAGCATTATCATCTGCAGCAGCATCATCACCACCACCACCATCATCGGCAGCAGCATCAGAATCCTCATATTCGTCAGCATAATCATCCTCATCGTCATCATCATCACGATCACACTCATAACCATCATCGTCGTCGTTGAGGTCAGATCATCAGCATCATCACCATTAACAGCATCATCATCAACAGCATCGTTATCATCAGCATCGTTATCATCATCAACAATATAACCATCATCAGCGGTATCATCATCGTCGTCATCGTCATCATCATCGTCAGCATCGTAACCGTCTTCATCATAACCATTAACATCACCATTAACATCACCATCCTCACCACCACCATCATCATCATTATCACCGTCATCGTCAGTAGCATCATCTTCAGCGTCCCCATCGTAATCGTCATCATCATCATTATCAGGTTCAGCATCATCATCAGCATCAGCATCAACATCAGTATCATCACCATCACCATGATCACGGTCACGGTCATGGCCGTACTAAGTGATGTCGTCCTCCTCGTCCTCATCCTCCAGCATGGCTGCCCCAAGTAACCCAGAAGGAATAGCTGCTTGCGCTCACGACATGGAACACTTGTGATTGGTGCATGGGGAAGCAGCGATGGTTTCCTCTGCAAGACGGGTGTGGAGTACATATGGTCGCCCTCGCCGAGGATCCTGGGACCAGAAGGCCATGCATAACCACGCACCCTCCAGCCAACCTGGACAAAGAAGAGGACGGACGAGCACTTAAGGGAGCACACGCTGAGCATCCTCGAGCGGCTCGCCGCAGACTGGGAGGCCCTCAGAACTCATCCTTGAGGGCCTTCGCGGGGAAAGCCTTGACGATGGTCTTGGCCGGCTTCGCCTTCACCATGACGACCTTGCCGAAGATCTCGCGCTTCCCAGCCTTGGTGGCCTTCTTCTGGCGGGTCTTGATCATCGCAACGCCCGGGATGACGAACTTGCCGTTCTTCTTCGCCTCTGTCGTTGCAATGCTCGCCAGGGTACTCAAGGCCGTGCCGATCACGCCCCTCTTCACCTCGCAGGCCTCCGCAAGCGCCGCCATGAGGGCACTCTTGGTCATGGCTGTGGGCTTCATCATAGGAGCCATCTCTGCTGCTTGGGTGAGGAAGCAGCGGCGCTGCCGATGTCTTCTGGTCTGCGCGCGGGGGCCGGAACTTGAGCCAACATGGTTACGGAGTACGTAAAAGTCCTACTGTCGAGCGGGCCTGCGCACCTTGCTTGACATCCCTCCTCCTCATCCTCCTCCAACTTCTCCGTCTTACCCCTCCTCCTACTCATCCTCACAGAACTCGTTGACTTACACAGAACGATAACCAATCATCATCATCATCATCATCATCATCATCATCATCATCATCATCATCATCATCATCACCATCACCATCACCATCACCATCACCATCATCATCATCATCATCATCAACATCATCAGCATCATAATCATCAACATCACCATCATCACCACCACCATCATCATCATCATCATCACCATCATCATCATCATCATCATCATCATCAGAATCATCATCATCATCATCATCATCATCATCATCATCATCAGTTTCATCATCATCATCATCATCATCATCGGCATCATCATCATCATCCTCATCATCAGAATCATCATCCAATCAGCATCAGCATCAGCATCATCAGCAGCATCATCGTAATCATCACCATCGTCACCATCATCACCATCGTCATCACAATCGTCAGCACCATCAGCAACAGCATCATCATCATCATCATCATCATCACCGTCATCATCAACATCATCAACAGCATCATCATCACCGTCATCAGCATCGTCATCATCATCATCAGCATCATCATCACCATGTCATCATCGTCATCACCACCACGACCACCATCATCATCATCACAATCGTCATCGCCATGGTCATCACCAGCGTCATCATCATCAACGTTATCAACATCATCATCAGCATCAGCAGCATCATCGTTATCGTCATCGTCATAGTCATCGTCATCGTCATCGTCATCATCGTTGTCGTCAACGTAATCATCATCACCACCACTTCCATCATCGCCATCGTCATCATCACGATCATCATCGACAGAAGAAGCCGCATATTCGTCATCGTTATCCTCAACAGCACCATCATCAACATCACCATCATCATCATTTGCACCGTAATCATCTTCATCAACATCACCATCCACATCAGCATCACCACCATCATCGTCGTCATCGTCATCGTCATCATCACCATAATCGTTAGCACCATCATGTCACCATAAGTATCGTCACCATCAACATCATCATCATCATCATCATCATCATCATCATCGCCATCATCATTGGCATAATCGTCATCAACATCATCACCATCATCATCGTCATCATCATCACCATCCTGTCGTCATCATCGCTGCCAACGTCCTGGTCATACTACGCGTTCTTATCCTCGCGTCCTCATCCTCTCATGCTCTCACGACATGGAGTCTTCGTGATTGGTGAATGGGGGGTGCAACGATGCTTTCCTCTGCGAGACGGGTGTGGAGTACATTCTCATCATCCTCCTCATCATCATCAACCACATCATCATCCACATCATCATCACCGACCTCATCATCACCACCCTCATCGTCATCAGCATCATCGCCATCATCATAATAATCTTCAGCACCATGATGTGACCATAAGTATCATCATTGTCATTATCGTCATCATCATCACCACCACATCATCATCACCATCCTGTCGTCATCATCACCGCCAAGATCATGATCATACTACGTGTTCTTATCCTCGCGCCCTCATCCTAATGCTCTCACGGCATGGAGTCTTCGTGATTGGTGAATGGGGGGTGCAGCGATGCTTTCCTCTGCGAGACGGATGTGGAATACATGCAATCCTCTTCGCCGAGGGTCCCGGGGCCGGAAGGCAATGCATAACCACGCACCCTCCAGCCAACCTGGACAAGATGGCACGGAGAGCTCTCGAAGGGAGGGATGGACGAGCACCTTGGGGAGCACGCCTCTTCGAGCGGCTCGCCGCAGACTGGGAGGCCCTCAGAACTCATCCTTGAGGGCCTTCGCGGGGAAAGCCTTGACGATGGTCTTGGCCGGCTTCGCCTTCACCATGACGACCTTGCCGAAGATCTCGCGCTTCCCAGCCTTGGTGGCCTTCTTTTGGCGGGTCTTGATCATCGCAACGCCCGGGATGACGAACTTGCCGTTCTTCTTCGCCTCTGTCGTTGCAATGTTCGCCAGAGTGCTCAAGGCCGTGCCGATCACGCCCCTCTTCACCTCGCAGGCCTCCGCGAGCGCCGCCATGAGGGCGCTCTTGGTCATGACCGTGGACTTGATCATAGGCGCCATCTCTGCTGCTTGGGTGAGGAAGCAGCAGCGCTGCCGATTTCTTCTGGTCTGCGCGCGGGGGCCCGAACTTGAGCCAACATGGTTACGGAGTACGTAGATGTCCTACTGTCGAGCGGGCCTGCGCACCTTGCTTGACATCCCCCCTCCTCCTCCTCCTCCTCCTCCTCCTCCTCCTCCTCCTCCTCCTCCTCCTCCTCCTCCTCCTCCCCCTTCTCCAACATACCCCTCCTCCTCCTATTCATCCTCCTCTTCTCCTCCTCATTCCACCTCTTCCGCGTCCACCACTCTCATCCCCGTCCCCCTCCCCCATCCACCTCCATCTCTTCCTCCCCTTCCTCTTCCTCCTCTGTCACTTCGTCGCTCACGTTCGTGAGCAAGGGCAATATGAAAATTCAGATTCCAGCTCGTCCGTCTCCTCCCCCTCTTCATACTTTCTAGAATAGTGACAAGGCCAGTGCACCCCGCAGAGCCCATCCAATATATCTACCCGACACTGCGAATGCACTCTGGGACATCTCGAAAAAGATTCGTATGTCATACAGGACGTCGTTGTTGCATACAGGACGCGAAGCAATAACAGTTAACAACTACATCATCATTATCATCATCAGCATCAGCATCAGCATGATCATCACAATCATCATCACCATCACCATCACCATCATAATCATAATCATAACATCAGCATCAGCATCAGCATCAGCATCATCATCATCATCATCATCATCATCATAATCAGCATCATCAACATCATCATAATCATCATCAGCAGCAGCAGCACCATCACCATAATCATCATCATCATCATCATCATCATCATCAGCATCATCATCATCATCATAACCATAACTACCATCACCATCATCAACATCATCAGCACCATCAGCCGCAGCATCATCAGCATCATCAACATCATCACCAACATCATCATCACCGTCGTCATCTTCATCATCAACATCATCATCAACCATCATCGTCGTCATCATCCTCACCATCACCACCTCCGCCATCAACAGCATCATCATCGTCATCGTCATGGGCATCCCCATCGTAATCGTCATCAACATCATGAGCATCACCATCAGCATCAGCATCATCATCGTCGTCGTCATCGTCGTCGTCATCATCGTAATCACAATCATCATCACCACCACCACCATCATCGTCGTCATCGTCATCATCACGATCATCATCGCCAGCGGAAGCCGCATATTCGCCATCGCATCCTCAACATCACCAGCATCAACAACACCGCCATCATCATTGGCACCATCATCCTCCTCATCATCATCATCAACCACATCATCATCCACATCATCATCACCACCCTCATCATCACCACCCTCATCGTTATCAGCATCAGCGTAATCATCATAAGAATCGTCAGTACCATCGTGCCACCATAAGTATCATCATTGTCATTCTCGTCATCATCATCACAACCAACATTATCATCACCATCCTGTCGTCATCATCGCCGCCAAGGTCATGATCACACTACGTGTTCTTTTCCTCGCGCCCTCATCAGAATGCTCTCACGGCATGGGAGTCCGCCGACCCCTTGTGGTTCTCTAGGCGTGTGAGATAGTTCCCCCCCCCATAACCCCCCCCCCCCCAAGGACCCCAAACCGGAGATTTGACCCCCCCCCCCGGGCCCCGGCCGACCCCGGCTTTCGTGCTTCCCGGGCGGGCAAAGGGCTAAAAAACGGGCCACGAGCGCACCAAGGGGCTCCCGAGATGGTCAAGAAGGCCCCGAATAGCCAAACCAGCGCTCGAAGACGCCCAAGACGGCCCCAAGACAGGCCAAGAGACCTCCAAGATGGCCCAAGAGACTTCCAAGAAGCGCACAAAGAGGGCCCCCAGACCCAAAAATGGCCCCATTCCCCGGGTAAAACGTACATTTGTAGTCTTCTCGCCTTCTCTGATTGCCGACGCTCCACGATGGCCCAGGAGGCTCCCAACACCGCCACAAGACGGCCCATGAGGTCTCCAAGAGGGCCCCGAGACGGCCCATGAAGGCCCCAAGACGGCCCAAGGGGCGCCCAAGACGGACCAAGAGGGTCCCAAGACGGGCCAAGAGGGGGCCCCAAGAGGCGCCAGGAGGCCCCAAGATGCCCCCAGAGCCCCAAGAGGCTTCCCAAGAGGCCCCAAGGGGCACCCAGCAGGCCTCCCAAGAGGCCCCACGAAGCCCCCCAGAGGCCCCAAAAAAGTCCCAAAACGGCCCCCAAGAGGCCTCGAACCTGGCCCCAAGAGGCCCCGACAGGCGAACACGATGTCCCAACGAACAACCATGAACCCTCTATCGTTGTCGTCGTCGGCGTCGCTTTCGTCGGTTTTATCCGGTCCCTTTTCCTCCCCGTCGCCCTCCCCCTCCTCCCCCTCCTCCTCGTCCCCCTCGCCT